GTTAAAGTGATTATCCTGCCTCAGCCTCCCAAGTAGCTGGGACTACAGGCGCATGCCACCACACCTGGCTAATTTTTGTATTTTCATTAGAGATGGAGTTTCACCATGTTGGCCAGGCTGGTCTCAAACTGCTGACCTCAAGTGATCCACCCACCTTACCTTCCCAAAGTGCTGGGATTACAGACATGAGCCACTGTGCCCAGCCCACCCTCGTACATTTGATATCTCTGGGTATTCCTGGATTTCTAGGACTCTATATCAGGATTCATTTTTGGGGGGCTATTTTCCCTCTTTCATGTGTAGTTCTCAAGATAATATTAAAAAGGCATCAAAGCTGAATCAAAACGTATCATACATTTATACCATGAAAGGGAACATGGAGACTCTTTTCTCCATTCTCTCTTTCTTTCCCCATCTCCCCTCCTGGGAAAGATGATTGGGGCCTTGTGTTATGGGATGCTTCGTGATGTTATTTGGGGAAACGTCAGGGCAATGCTTTATGGACCTAATAAGATGAGGATATTCATTTGTAAGAAATAAAGTCAAAGTTATGTTAATGGGAAGAATATGACTTTCTGTTTGTATTCTAGACCTCCAGGTGAAGTTTCAGAGGGAGATGAGTCTTTGTGTTGCAGGGTGTGTTCGGTTTTGCAGAGGAGGTGTTAGGGGAGGGTAGGTGGAGGGGTTGCAGCCTGGGAGAAAGACTCTCACCTCCTCTGTCCTCTGCCTCCCCACTTCCTAATCCTTCCCTCCCTGAGGCAGACCTTCACAGCCTGAGTCAGAATCCAGCTCTCTCTTCTTCACAGCAGAAGATGGATCCGGATGGCTGGAGGAGAAAGAAGAAGAAGAGCTGATATTGCGGTGGAAAGCCCAGGACAGGAGGTCTAGATCAGAATCTTAAAGCCTTATGGCACCAGAATGTCATTCTTCATCCAGAGCTTCAGCTTCTTCAAACATAAAATAGAATTCATAATTCCTGGCTGGGTGCGGTAGCTCATGCCTATAATCCCAGCACTTTGGGAGGCCAAGGCGGGTAGATCACGAAATTAGGAGACCAAGACCATCCTGGCTAACACGGTGAAACCTCATCTCTACTAAAAATACAAAAAATTAGCCAGGCATGGTGGCATGTACCTTAAGTCTCAGCTTCTTGCTTGAGAGGCTGAGGCAGGAGAATCGCTTGAACTTAGGAGGTGGAGGTTGCAGTGAGCCAAGATCGCACCACTGCACTCCAGCCTGGGCCACAGAGCTAGACTCCGTCTCAGAAAAAAAGAAAAATAATAATAATAATAATTCCCTTGAGCATCATATGAAATACTAAAGCATTAAGCACATAGTGCCTGGCATGTAGTATAAACCATGTTCACTATTGTTAACTATAAATCCATGTTAACTGTTGTTATTGTTATTGGTATTCCATGCCTGGGATTGTGGAATTGAATTTACTTGATAATTTCTTTAGGGAGGGGTGAAAGTCCTGGGAAAAAATTAGGGAATGGGATAGTAAAGGGGAAAGGGTTAAACGGAGAGAAGAGATGGGAAACGAGAGATGCCGGCAGAGTTCCCTCCGAAAGCTGGAGATGCGTCCTCATGAGGTTGTTCCCTTCTCCCAGGAAGTGACACATGGAATCCCAGCCACAGTGAAGTTTAAGAGAACTGAACAGCAAGATAAGGGGTACAATGTTTGATTCTACCCTCAGCCGCCTACTCTCTCCATTCAGTGCAGCTTGGGAACAAACCCAGAGCCCTAGCGGTAAAGACCTGCTTCTGGAGCTGCAAGTTCAGATGCCTTCAGGGGCCACAGAAGTATTTCAAATGTCAGAGGCAGTCAAGTGTGTATCACCTAAAGGCCTTCAGATGCAAATTTGAAAACATACCCTCCATACCAACAATTGCTTACATGTCTTTGGTTTTGTTTGCAAGCTTTGGCTTCAAGCACGGTTGCTTTAGCCAAAGGTCTGAGAAGCAGTGTCTGTAAGAGGCAGGGGCACAGCTCTCTATTTCCTCACTGGTTCCATAGAACCCTCACTGTGGGCCACTGGGGGCCAGAAGAATCACTCTGCAAGCAATGGATATCTCTCACAGAAACAGAGAAAAAGTCTACCCTATGGCTTACGTAATAATTCACTTTTATTGAGAAAAACACAACGACTGTTGTGTTGGAACTGTATAGAAGGTAGTGAACACAATGAGAAGAATAGCCAAGAAAAGCAGAACGTGTAAGAGACATGGATGAAAGGTGGTGTGTTCCCGTGGTATGGACTCTTGGATTCTAAAATTACTGAAGCCTCTAAGCCTCACACTTCTCATCAATAAAATAAGACCGTTGCTATCACTGCCTGGAGATGTTTGCACGTGTCAAATGAGCCCAACATACAATAGAAACGTATTGTGATTTTTAAAATTTTTCATTCTCCATTTCTTTGCATAAGTATACACTGTCTGCATATGCTCCCTTTAGACTTTATCATTAAATTGTTCTTTTTTCTGAAAGTTTAAGTTCATCTCATGATCTCCTCCTCAAAAATCACCTGTTTCCCAGATATTTTCAGTTGGCTTTGGTTTTTCTCATAAGGGATGAAATAAATTATTATTTTTTTCTTTTTTTTGAGACGATGTCTCATTGTGTTGCCCAGGCTGGAGTGCAGTGGCCCCGTCATAGCTCACTGCAACCTCGAGCTCCTGGCCTCAGGCGATCCTCCTGCCTCAGCCTCCAGAGTAGCTGGGACTACAGGCAAATGCTACCATGCCCTGCTAGTATTTGTGGATGGGTGTAGTGGTGGAGGTTGCAATGAGCCGAAATCATGCCAGTACACTCCAGCCTGGGTGACAGAGCGAGACTCCATCTCAATAAGTAAATAAAATAAACATATACAAAATAAAATGTGGCCAGGAGCAGTGGCTCATGCCAGCAATCCCAGCACTTTGGGAGGCTGAAGTGGGTGGATCATGAGGTCAGGAAGACCGATACCATCCTGGGCAACATGGTGAAACCCTGTCTCTACTAAAAATACAAAAATTAGCTGGTCGTGGTGGCATGTGCCTGTACTTCCAGCTACTTGGGAGGCTGAGGCAGAAGAATCGCTTGAACCAGGAAGTTGAAGGTTGCAGTGAGCCAAGAACGCGCCATTGCACTCCAGCCTGGCAATAGAGTGAGACTCTGTCTTAAAATAAAACATGACAGTTCTAATACAGGCAGGAGGAATTCTCTCTTACCTAAGGGAGGATCAGCCTTTTTGTTCTATTTAATATTTAGGCCTTCTACTGATTGAATGAGGCCTACTCACATTAGAGAGGGCAATCTGCTTTATTCCGTCTACCTACTTAAATGTTACTGTCACCCAGAAACTCCTCCACTGACACACTCAGAATAATGTTTGACCAAATAGCTGGGCACCTTGTGGCCTAGTCAAGTTGCCACATAAAATTAAACATCACATGGTGTAAAACTGAGAGTTCTGAATTTTTAGAGTCCCCCAATTATCCTTACTATCAGTGGATCTGCATCAAGAATATATATATACGCTCAAATACGTGGTAACAGTTTTGTTATTAATCAGTTCACACATCCAGCAAATCCTGAGTGCCTGATGTGTATTAGGTGCTGTAGTGCTTGTGAGGCAACTGCCTTCCCTTAAAGATGTGCAATGCAATTGCAGAGAGGAAACATAAAACATAATGCAGGCAGAGATGAGATAACACCACTAACAAATAATGATACAAATAAATATCAACAAAACACTGTATAATTAAATATGCCCTTCAAATAAAACCACATTAACCTCCTCATTTTGAATTTGTATATTTATTCAAAATGTTTGGAAAAGGAGTGTTCTGGTTAATTGAAACATACATAAGAATTGGTGGCCAGCCTTGGTGGCTCATGCCTATAATCCCAGCACTTTGGGAGGCCAAGATGGGCAGATTACCTGAGGTCGGGAGTTTGAGACCAACCTGACCAACATGAGAAACTCTATTCTCTACTAAAAATACAAAATTATCCAAGACATGGTTGTGCATACCTGTAATCCCAGCTACTTGGGAGGCTAAGGCAGGAGAATCACTTGATCTCAGGAGGCAGAGGTTTTTGTGGGCCAAGATCGCGCCATTGTACTCCAGCCTAGGCAACAAGGGCAAAATGCCATCTAAAAAAAAAAAAAAAAAGAATTGGTAACCAACTCTTTATATATTATATATGTCTGTATATAAAAATACATGTTATGTATAATAAATTTCCATAGAAATTATTAAGTAGCTTTTCCTTCTAAGACCTCATTATAAGTAAAATTTAATTTTAAAATTCATCATATGTAAGAGTTGTGGAAAATTAGACTAAATTTTCACAAAGTGTTTGGCATTTTCTAAAAATCTTAGTATTAAAAATGCGTAAATATATAACTTGAACAAAATTGAAAGGAATAAACTAAAACACAAAATTTGATCTTGAATAACCCTGTCTTCCAGCTCTACTCTTTTTTTTTTCCTGGATAAAACTGTTGCAGTACCAGCCCTACTTTTTAGAAGTAATTATATATATTTTGAGATGGAGTCTCACTTTTGTCACCCAGGCCGGAGTGCAGTGGAACAATCTCAGCTCACTGCAACCTCTGCCTCCCAGATTCAAATGATTCTCCTGCCTCGGCCTCCTGAGTAACTGGGGTTACAGGCGCCTGTCATCAAGCCCAGCTAATTTTTCGTATTTTTAGTAGAGATGGGGTTTCACCATGTTGGCCAGGTTGGACTTGAACTCCTGACCTTGTGATCCACCCACCTTGGCCTCCCAAAATACTGGGACTACAGGCGTGAGCCACTGCACCTGGCCCTTTACTCTGAATTTTTATCAGCCTTCCAAAAATCGTAGAGAAGCTAGAACTTACTTGTGGTCATGGGGGACGGGTGCATCTTTTTATAAAGTGAGTTAAAACAATGACAGTGTTTTTATTTGCAATCAACTTTTTTCTTACAAAAAGACTCCCTCTTTTATTACGTCTTTATTACAGGGATGTCAGAAAATATGATGCACATAAAGAAGTCCAGATCACCCACCATCCACCCCCTTGGAGACGGCTGCTGTTAACAGTCATCCACATCCCATTCTTTCTATGCTTACACACTGAAGACAACAGAAATGAGAGCATTTTTTTGTATGCTGCTTTTTAACCAGTTTTCACTTTTATTTAAATTCTCCAACAAATCTTTTAAAATTTCTTTTTAAATTCATCTACTGCTCCATGCTATTCCTGTGGGTGAAAAGCTGTAACACTCAGCACAATAAATTAATTCTCTGTGAAACTCATGTTCTCATGTTACCAGAAATATTTTTTGGTCTGATCTATATTTCTTCTTTGTATAATACTTACAAAATGACCAAACTAAATAAAATTATGTTCCCTATTGTTTGAAAATAGTTTGTAACTAGGAAATAAATACTGTGGTACATTAGGGATGATCACATTATGTAATTTAGTAAAAGTTTTAATATAACATGGTTTGATCCTTTATCTTTTGCTGACAGATTTTTTTAAACCAGTTATTCAGAATGTCTAGAAATTAAGGAAAAATTCTTCTAAAACATGTGAAATGGTAAGAATCGGTGAGCTTTAGTGGTATGGAGGCAAGAACGGAGGCCAAATTGTGTTCTGTGTCCACATTCTTCCCTTATATGCAAGCACACAGACACACACGTACACCCCACACACAGACACACACCCACACACACACACATACATACCCAGAACACACACACACACACACACACACACACACACACACACACACACACACACACACGTTTTTACCCAGGTGAAATTGGCTCAAAATAAATAGTAAGTGCAACTTTGAGTAAAAAGTGTTGTAGTGATGTGACCCCACATCTAGTCCCTGAAGGCATTGTATTCATAAAAGGAAATTATACTTCTTCATGGAGTTCATCTGACAGAGGAAGGCGTTCTTATCATATGTGGTCATGTTTATAAACTCCATCCATGCCTCCGACCCCTGCTTTCTTTTTTTTTTTTTTTTTTTTTCTTTTTTTGAGATGGAGTTTCACTCTTGTTACCCGGGCTGGAGTGCAATGGTGCCCATCTCGGCTCACTGCAACCTCCGCCTCCTGGGTTCAAGCAATTCTCCTGCCTTAGCCTCCCGAGTAGCTGGGACTACAGGCATGCGCCACCATGCCCAGCTAATTTTTGTATTTTTAGCAGAGACGGGGTTTCACCATGTTGACCAGGATGGTCTCGATCTCTTGACCTCGTGATCCACCCGCCTCGGCCTCCCAAAGTGCTGGGATTATAGGCGTGAGCCACCACACCCAGCTAATTTTTTATATTTTTAGTAGAGACGGGGTTTTGCCATGCTGGCCAGGTTGAACTCAAACTCCTGACCTCAAGTGATCCGCCTGCCTCAGCCTCCCAAAGTGTTGGGATTGCACGCTGGACATTTCATATAAGTGGAATAGTATAAATGTGGCTTTTTGTGTCTGACTCCTTTCACTTAGCAAAATGTGTTCAAGGTTCATCCATGTTGTAACAGATATCAGTACCTTTTGCCTTTTCATGGCTGATTAATATTCCACTGCATGGCTATGACACAATTTCTTTATCCATTCATCAATTGATGGCCGTTTGAGTTATTTCTACGTTTTATTTATTTTTTAATAGAGGTAAGGTGTTGCTCTGTCACCCAGGCTGGAGTGCAGTGGCATGATCATTCAAGCCATCCTCCCACCTCCGCCTCCCAAGTAGCTAGGACTACAGACTACACCACCACCACTAGATAATTTTTTGTTTTTTTTGTAGAGACAGGGTCCTGAACTCCTGACCTCAAGCAACCTTCCTGAAATGGACTGTCAAAATGTTGGATTACAGGCAGGAGCCACAGCGCTCAATTTTTTGATGATTGTGAATAATGCTGCTATGAAATTAGTGTACAAGTTTTTGTTAACATATGCTGTTTTAGTATTTACGGTGTCCTTTAAGGTCGCCTGTCTCGTTGGGCCTCACAAACACTTTGTGAGATGAAACAAATCCTATTTCCATTTTGCAGCTAGGGCCACAGGCTCTCAGAGATAATTGCCCAGTTTGTGCTGGAGTCAGCACTCTCATCCAGTCTTGTTTTTTAAAAGATAGCTTAAAAATGTCAAAAGAAAGCACACGATTTTCTGGGAAAGGTGAAATTTGCTGCTTATTTTTAGTTTTGTAAAGATGTGAATATACTTACCCATGCTCATTAGAAAAGCAATGTCTAGAGTAAGTTACAGATTCCAGAAGAAAATGTTGCATAACAAGTGGTCAAAATTTTCTAAAACAGAGTTATACCCAGGCTGTTGAGTAGGAATAGGCACTTCTATTCTTTGTAGTTTTGTGATTTTTACTTTCAAGGAAAATGCAGACAGATTGTAGCTGTTTGCAGTTCTAATGGTTCACAGAAAGAAATGGCTTCAGATTATTTTTTCTCCTAATTATCATGCATCTTAGAGACATGTTTATGACTAGATTTAAATCTTAACACAGTCTATTAATATTTCAGTTTTGGCATCAGGCACATGAAATAGTATTATTCATGCAAACCTTGCCAAAAGCGTTCTGAGTCAAAACTTGACTAAATTAATACAGTCCTTTTTTGATATTTGAATCATCATATATAAAAATTTTGCAGGAGACCTTAGAAATGGTTTAATCCAAATACTTACCCAACGTGTGCATTCTGATTCATGAATTGAACCCCCCTGCACCCTCCCCTCCTCTTATCCTTATGGCCAAAAGCAGGAACACTAATAATTAAGGACAGAAGCCTAAAAACAAACAAAAAAGTCTTGTTCACTTTTTCTTGCTTAGAATATCTTTCTCCACATTGTGTTGCTGATGAACTCTGACTTACCCTGAGTTAATTACTCTCACTCATCAATACTCATACACTATTTATCACACTGTATTGAGATTATTTGTTTAAAATATATGTACTCAGATGATGTGATTTAAAACACGTTTTGTTAATCTCCAGCATCTAGTAGAATTCCTGGTGTAGTCATGCAGTAAAGATTTGGTTTTTTGTTGTTGATTTTTGTTTGTTTGTTTTTGAGACGGAGTCTTGCTCCATTGGCACTGTCTCGGCTCACTGCCACCTCCATCCACATCCCGGGTATAAGCGATTCTCCTGCCTCAGCCTCTCCATTAGCTGGGATTACAGGCATGGACCACCATGCCTGGCTAATTTTTTGTATTTTCAGCAGAGATGGGGTTTCACCATGTTGGCCAGGCAGGTCTTGAACTCCTGACCTCAGGTGATCCACCCACCTTGGCCTCCTAAAGTGCTGGGATTACAGGTTTGAGCCACTGTGTCTGGCCACAGATTTGTTGATTTTAGCCAGGCTGTGTGGCTCAAGCCTGTAATCCCAGCACTTTGGGAGGCTGAGGCCGGGCAGATAGTTTGATCCCAGGAGTTTGGGACCAGCCTGGGCAACATGGTGAAAATCTGTCTCTATAAAAAAAATGCAAAAATTAGCTGGGTGTGGTAGCATGCACCTGTAATCTAGTCTCAGCTACTCTAGAGGCAGAGGTAGGAGGATCACTTGCCCTTGGAGGCTGAGGCTGCAGTGAGTCCTGATTGTGCCACTGCACTCCAGCCTGAGTGACAAAGCAAGACCCTATATCAAAAAAAAAAAAAAAAAAAAAAAAAGATCTGTTCATTTAGATGGACTTTTTAGCAGCATCTCAGGAACTCTGAGTTCTGACTGACTGCCGATTGTCAAGTCACTATCTGCATTACCATTAATTAACAGTTACGAAGCCCTCATAGCTAGAAGAACTAAACTGGACCTAAAAGATGTATAAAGTACCTTGCACATAGTCCCAGCACTTAGGAAGTTAGTGAAGTCTATATATACAAAATAGAAGTCAAGCCTGGCAAATGTAGATTCAATATTAACGTTGAGAAGACTACCCATGCGTATGCATGTAATCAATGGGGGGCCAATGTGTGGGATATGTAAAAGGATTAGCGATATTGAGATTGGGCCATGTTATTAGCCAACTTCGCAAGGATCAATCAGTCCTTCAACATAAAATTACCGAGCAATTATTTTAAAGGTGGAGCCAACAACATTTCCTCACTGATTGGATGTGGGTGTGACAGAGAAAAGGGCCAAGAAAGCCTCCACTGTTTTTGACCTGGGCCACTAGAGGCATGGAGTTGCCATCCAGTGAGATGGGAGACTGTGGTAAGGCAGGTTTGTGGGAGGTGATTAGGAGTTAGTCACTAGGCTCTAGACAGACTTTGGGACACCTTAGTGAACAAGGGAAGGAGACATCTAAGCCTCTGACATTAAATTCTCATGGATGACGGGAACAAATGTGTAATGCATAAGAAAGTTACATTGATGTTAAAAGGGATGAGAGCTAAGAGCAAACAAAAAGCAGGGTGTGGGGATCGGGAGAGATGGGGTGGGAGGTACCTGGAAGAAGTCTGTTTCAAGCTGAGGAAATGATCAGCTAAAATGTCCTAAGGCAGACAGTGCCTGGCGATTCCTCTAGGGATCAGGGAGTACAGAGTGTCTAGAACAAGGTAGCCAGTGAGAGTAAGAGAGGAGATCCGAGGGGTCAGGGGGCCACATCATGTAGGGCCTGATAGGCCATTGTAAGGACTTTGGTTTGTACTACTCTTGTTTAAACAGGGAGTCTTTGGAAGGTTTCCAGCAGAGTGATGACATAATCTGATTTATGAATTCAAAGGATTACTCAGGCTGCTGGGGTGAGAATACACTCCAGGAAGGTAGACTAGACTCAGGTGGAAACAGGGAGATTTAAAGATGCCATCGAGGTAATCCAGACAGGGAATCATATGGATTAGTGTGGGGGGAGGAGCCGGGGGAGTGAGAAGAACTTGGAATCTGGATATATCCAAAAAGTAGAGCCAATAGAATTTCCTTGTAGATTCAGTTTGAAGCATGACAGAAAAGGGAACCAAGGATCACTCAAAGTGTTTTTGTTTTGATTTGAGATGGAGTTTCACTCTGTTACCCAGGCTGGAGCGCAGTGGTGCAATCACAGCTCACTGCAACCTTGGCCTCCTGGGTTCAAGTGATTCTCCTGCCTCAGCTTCCTGAGTAGCTGGGATTATAGGCATCTGCCACCATGCCTGGATAATATTTGTATTTTTAGTAGAGATGAGGTTCCACCATGTTGCCCAGGCTGGTGTTGAACTCCTGACCTCAAGTGATCTACCTGCCTTGGCCTCCCAAAGTGCTGGAATTACAGGCATGAGCCACCGTGCCAGGCCTGACTCCAAGACTTTTGACCTGAGCAATTGGAAAGGATGGAGTTGACATCTATAACATAGAGAAGTCTGTGGTGGAGGCGTTTTGTGAGGGAAGATCAGGATTCCATTTGGACATGTTAGCTTTGAGATACCGATTACGCGTCCAAGTGATACAAGGGCTATGGGAGAA